TTCATGTCTAAGCCTTAAGAGCTAAGTGTGATTGCAAATTTTCCCAGTGCTCATTAAGTAATTACAGCTGTCATTGGCTTATTGATTCAAAATCAAATCAAATCACGAGAAAGGATTATCTTCGTTCTACACCAGTATATAAGGGGACATCATTTTGGGAGCTAGCTGGAAGAATCCAATGCTGCTAAACTGCTGCCCAGATCGGTTTAGTATAGTTCCCTGAAAACATCGATCCAAAGTGCAGCAGCAGTCAAAAAAGCTAACAGAATGTTAGGAACCATTAGGGAAAGGATAGATAATAAAACTGAAAATATCATACTGTCTCTATATAAATCCATGGTATGCCCTTGAACACTGCGTGCAGTTCTGGTCGCACGATCCCAAAACATATATTAGAATTGGAAAAGGTAGACAGAAAGAAACCAAAAATGCTTAGGGGGTATGGCACAGCTTCCATTTGAGGAGAGATTAAAAAGACGAGGACTGTTCATCTTAGAAAAAAGAAGACTAAGGGGGAATATGGCAGAGGTCTATAAAATCATGACTGTATTATTAGTAGTATTAGGGGTCACCAGATTAAATTAATAGGCAGCAGGTTTAAAACAAACAAAAGGAAGTACTTCTTTACACAATGCACAGTTAACCTGTGGAACTCCTTGCTGGAGGATGTTGTGAAGGCCAAAGTATAACTGGGTTCAAAAAGGAATTAGTTATGTTCCTGGAGGATAGGTCCATCAATGGCTATTAGCCAAGATGGTCAGGGATGCAACCCCATGCTCTGGGTGTCCCTAAGCCTCCAACTGCTAGAAGCTGGGACTGGACAACAGGGGATAAATTACTTGAAATTGCCCTGTTGTGTTCGTTCCCTCTGAAGCACCTGGCACTGGCCACAGTTAGAAGAAAGGACACTGCGCTAGATGGACCATTGGTCTGACCCAGTACGGCCATTCTTATGTATGCTTTTCCTTTCTGTATTCTACTGTGTTAATTTTTGACTAATAATCTCTGATTGAACAATCCCAATTGAGCCAATTATTTGACATCTTGCTGAGTTATTGTTGTTATTTAAATTCAAACACGCAACACTGTTTAAGAATTGCTCAGCCGTCAAGATCTTTTAGAAAAGGCAGGACAGAGGCCTGAAAGAATTAAAAACCCCCTCAGAAGTCTAATTGCGGGGTATCTTAAGACTTTCTAAGTAGCCCGAGGAAAGTCAGTATTTGCAGCCTTGCTCGAGAGTGTACCCCTCATGTAGATTGAAGAGACTTCCCTTTTTCCCTGTCTGTGAATGAATGAATTGAAGTATAGATATCAAATATTAAGAGACTATATTATCTTGTCCGATACAGTAGAGGGAAAAATAGAGAACTAGATGGAATAAACCGTTGATTAAATGAAGAAATATGTGGAAAAGGGAAGTCGACTGTAAGTAGGCTTGGCAGAATTGGATTTTTTTTTAATAATTTCGATGGATAATATCTGATTATTTTTAAGCTATTTTGCGATTTTTATCAATTTGAGTTTTCACAGTGGCGAGGGTATTATGGGGGAGGGTCAGACAACAGCGGGGGTCAGACAGTAATTATACAAAGACAGTAGACTTTGAGATGCAAAAAGATAAAGCTTTATAACCACTACAACAGAAATTGTCAACATCACATGTCAAAATGTACAAAGTCAATAGTCTTAAATCAAACTCTGATAAGTTCTTGGGCAGGAATTTTCTTACTTTGCCTCTTTGTAAGTGTTGATGATTATGGATGGAAATATGTTTTTGCCGGTTTGTGTGTGTAGGATGAAATTGACATTTACTGATAATAATCTAGTACTTTCAAACCTATTTATATCCTGTCTCTGCTTTGGGTTGGGGAAGGTGATGGCTGGATGGGGCAATGGCTCCCTCTTGTGTCCCGTAGATGGAGTCTCTCCTCAGTGCTGTAGTCAGGATTTCTGTTAGTTTGGCTTTCTGATATTGTCCCATCCCTCCGTTGAAACGGTTCCTTCCCCTGTGCAACCTCACCCTTTCTGCACTGCATTTCACCGGCCATCACGTTACCCAGTTACCTGCATCTTTTAGCCTGGAGCCCTTCACAATCCTCCCACATCAAAATAATTTGGCAGCCTCAGTAAATTTCCCCTCTCACTGTTCACCCTGTAATCCTGGGCCATTAATAAAATACTGAACAGTCCTGATCTTATCTGTGATCACTGGGGCCTCTGTTAGCCCCTTCCCCAACTCAGAGCATATAAGCAACATCCTAACGCACTTTGCTGAGACCACAAAACTGGTCAGCAGGGGTGAGTTTGAAGAGCTAAGGCCAGTAGGCACCATTAGATCTAGTCTAGATTAAACTGGAGAAATTCACCCAGTTCCCCCTGAACTGAGCCCAGTAACTTGTGGTTGGCTAAAGCATCTTCCAGAAACCACCAGGCAGTTGCTTATTCTGGGGTTGGTCGCTCTCAGTCTCTCCTGTGGCAGCGGTTCCATAATTAAATATCCATTGGGCCAGCTACACAACGAGCAATTGACTCCCTAGCCCAGTGGCCAGGGCACGTGCCAAAGAGGAGGGAGTCCCAGGTTGGAGTCCCTGCTCTGCTGTTTATTTCATTAGCCTGGTGATTAGGGGATGCGGGTGGGGTGTCAGAGACCAGGGTTTAAGTCCCTGCTGTGACGGAGATTTGAAAACTGGTCTCCAGCCTCCTAAGTGCCCTAATCCCTTGGGTATGCAGAGATCACTCCTTCTAGCTGGTCTAGAGCAAGGGGAATTAGGTGCCTGAATAAAACCTTGGAGGTTCCGGCTCAGCCCTGCCCCTTTCCGCGGTATTTCACTCCTGGCTAGTTTAGGGGGCTCCCTGCTCAGCTTCACGGTTTCTGTGCCCCCCCTCCCACTTCACAGGTGTCCAGCTTTTCCCATGCACCGTAGGGGGAGCCTGACTCAGAGCTGAGGATTCCACCGGGCTGGTGCGTTAATGTGGACAGAAATGAACAGAAAGTCCAAGGTGTTAACACGACCCTGTCACCATACAGCACTAAATAGCTGACCTCGGTGACCTCATCCTGCTTCCACAACCACCACTAACAATCTCTCTCACCTCTGATGAAGGATACAGACAAAGTCTCATAGTTAAGACGTGCACCTGGGATGTGGCATGCCAAGAGATGGATCTGTGTTACCTTCTGTAATGTAGATGGTGCCTTTAAGGGCTGAGCTTCCCAGACAGAGTCCAGGCTGGTGCTGTGACACTCTTGTTTGGCACACACAGCAAGAGCAGGACACAGAATTAAGCCAGGGCCAGGCACCGCTACCCTAATACTGCTAATAGTGTGCAAGTGATAATGAGTTACCTGTCTGGGCTGGGCTATCATAATCCTACTACTAAATGTGCACTTCCTAAGAGAGCCCAGCCCCCTCCAGCTGCTTCCATAATACTGCTAGTAACTTAATAACTCGCATGTCATAATGGGTCCCCATCCCAGTTGGCTACCATAATCCTACTAATAAATGTGCACTTCATCATGGGGCCCAATCTCAGTCAGGGCTCGCCCTGCTACTACCGTAATACTGCTAATAACTTGCATATCATAATGGGTCCCCTTCCAAATTGGGCTACCAAAATCCTGCTAATAAATGTGCCTTTATCGTGGGGGCCCAGTCTCAGTTAGGGTCCCCTCCTGCTGCTACCATAATACTGCTAATCACGTTCATGTCATAATGGGTCTCCTTCCTAATGGGGCTACCGTAATCCTACTAATAGATGTGTACTTCATCATGGGGCCCAATCTCCTGCTGCTACCGTAATACTGCCAATAACATGCATACCATAATGGGGTCCCCATCTTGGGTGGGCTACCATATTCCTAGTACTAAATGTGCACATCACCTTGGGGTCCAATCTCCAGCTGCTACTGTAATATGGCTAATAATGTGTAACCCACATGTTGTACACTACAGCATTTGATTTTTAAGTCCAAAGAGAAGGGAGGGAAGTGAGATGGATTTTAGCTGGAAGCCTCAGCAGACGTAGTTAGAAAGGCCCAGAAATATCCAGGAGTAGGGTGTGGCTGACTTTGGACATGCTCAGTCACTGGTCCTCAAGTTGGACAGGAAGTTTCCATTAAGGGCAAGCAGTCTTGTAGCCCTCGCCCGCTGAGAGCTGAGCCAATCAGAGTGCAGGGGCAGGGTGGGAGATTATAAATATAGGCTTTAAAGGCCACCCTGCAAATTCTGTAGCTGATGGATGGAAGAGCAATGGGGGTGTCTGCTGGGAGGACCGATCCTAGCACCTGGCCTGCTTTGGATCAAGGTAAATGCTATTCCAGCCTTACCTTCTAGGGAGTCCCTCCATTAAGATCCTGTTTGATCCCCATGGGGTGCTCTGTGGACACAGAGGGGGAGCTGGGAGGCGATGGAACTTGTGGAGTTTGCACTGAACTCTCGGCTCCCTGCTTCAAACTGGGATTCTGTCTCTGTAAGAGAGATCAGGGCAGAGCTGTGCGAGGGGAGGGTTTGTAAATCCTCATTGGACCCTGCCAGGTGTATGGGGGAGAAGACAGGGCCCTACAGCGCGACGGCTGGGTAGAAATGCAGGGAAGGGGCGTTTTCTATGCCAATTCCAGTGTCTGCACCACTCAGGACACAGAGATTTCTTCTCCCCCCAGAAAGTGAGGTGCGCGGTCAGTTGCCAACCTAGGGGCTAGAACCCAGCCCAGACTGACACGGTTTGGAGCAGACCAGAGACCCTCCCCAAGCCTGGCAGAGCTGTGGGTGTGGGGGAGACCTGAGGGGTAGCCCTGGGCTGGGCTGGCAGGGGGCTGTATGTTGGGAGTGAGGGGCACTGGCAGAGCTGGGGGCATGGGGGAGGGGCACCCCAGGGGGCTGTGTGTTGGGAGTGAGGGGCACTGGCAGAGTTGGGGTGTGGGGGAGGGGCACCCCGAGGGGGCTGAGTGTTGGGATTGAGGGGCATTGGCAGAGCTGGGGCGTTGGGGAGGGGGACCCCAGGGGGCAGTGGCAGAGCTGGGGACATGGAGGAGGGGCACCCCACGGGGCTGTGTGTTGGGAGTGAGGGGCAGTGGCAGAGCTGTATGGGGCTGGGATAGCAGGGGGCTGGGTCAGGATCATGTCCCATCCCTCTCCCCTCTCCCAGAGTTAGACCCTCCACCCACTCTCTCTTCCTCCTCAGGCAGACCTTCATGGGCACCCGGGATTCCTGGTAAGTGAGGGGCAGGGCAGGGGAGCTCACCTATTGCTGTGACTTCACAGCGATGCTTCCTCCCCCCCCGCCATGCCTACAGCTGTGCCCCTGACAGCACCAAACTCCAGGGCAGACCTCCTGGGCAACCCTGCACTCCCCACTGGCTAGGGTGACCAGACAGCAAGTGTGAAAAATTGGGACAGGGCGTGGGGGGTAATAGGAAAATATATAAGAAAAAGACCCCCAAATCGGGACTGTCCCTATAAAATTGGGACATCTGGTCACCCTACCACTGGCCACAGCTCCCCCCGCGTCAGTCAGCACGGCTGCAGCCTGCCTCCCCTCTGCAAGCCCCCCCAGCACGTCCCCGTGCAGCAACTCCAGCCACCACCTGCATGTCCGTGGTTCCTTGCCTCACAGCTCTCCATCGCCTCTGCCCCTCCACCCCATCCCACCTCCCCTCATGCCGGGGGATCAGACCTCCCCTCCACACACACATACAGGGCAGCAACAGGCCATGTTCAAATATCTAGTTTTCTAGGAAATCCTTTTAAAATTAACATCCCCAGCCCACCGCTGGGAAAAACCCTAAATCCCTCTCCGTCCTGGGCGGTCTGAACCATCAGAGCGCCCCGCGGCTCACTCAGCTCTCCCAGGCCTGTGCCCCAAAACAGCAGCTGCAGGATTTCAGCGCTACCCTCGCACTGTGGAGTGGATCCAGCAGGAAACAGGCCCCGGCTTAAACTCCAGCCCGCCAAAGACTTGCCCCTTCCCTCCTGCAGGCAGACAGCTCCACTGAGGTACGGGGCTGAGGGTTTGGTTACGCTGCACACGGCCCTCGGGGCATCTTCAGCCTGGACCTGTTGCTCTTCGGTCACACTGCGAGGGGAGCAACATTTCACCCCCCCCAGCTGCCAAAATCTAAATGAGTTTTAACCCGAACGTTTGCCCTGGTGCTGTGGGCGTCCCCCCGGCGAATAGGGCAGCTCGTTTGTTGGAGCAGGGCGGGCCGCAGCCAGTCTCTCCTGCCGCGAGATAATTTACTATTCGTAGGAGCAGTGACTTGACCTGGGGGCTCCGACACTGCAGTTCTGGGCTCTCACCAGGACGCTGCTGGCCACTCCGCATTGTCTCCGACTCATATCCCAGGTGAACGCTAAAAAACAAACAGCGATATTAACTGTCAAAATTATATAAAAAAAATAAAAAATTCCAGCTCTGCCAAGCCGAGGTGCGGAAGATCAGGGTTCGAATTCCTGTTGCAAATCAAGCCCAGCAGGGATTCGAACCTGGTGCTCCCACATGCTAGGTGACTGGGCTAACCCCGTGGCTCTTCTGGGTTGGAGTTTTCGCAGTCATCCCTACTGATCCTGTTCTACTTTGTATAACGAGCTAAATATTCATTGGGGCTGAGAAGGAGTAAGACTCTGTGGCCCTGCGATTAGGCATTCACCTGGCATACCCCAGGGATCCAGCAGCGGGGCTTGGGAGGCGATTTAAAGGGTCCTGGGCTCCAGCCGCTGCAGGGAGCCCCGGGCCCTTTAAATGGCCAGCCTGGGGAAGCCGGTCCGGTCCGGCACGGAGTACCGGCTCTTGCCGGCTTACTTTCACCTCTGCTCATAGGTCAGGTTTTCCAACCCTCTGATCATGTTTGTTGCTCTCTTCTGCACTCTGACCAGTTTGTCCACAACTTTCCTAAAGCACGGTGCCCAGAATTGGACACAGCTCTCCAGCTGAGCTCTCCCCAGAGCTGAATAGAGCGGGACAATTACCTCCCGTGTCTTACATACACCATGCCGGTTACTGCACTCCAGAATATTAGCCTTTTTCTGCAAATGCAGCACATTGTTGGCTCATATTCAGTTTGTGATCTGCCACAACCCCAGATCCTTTTCTGTGATATTCAACTTGTGTCTCTGCCATTGGTTTGACAGGATGTCCCTGGTCTCTCTGACGTGGCAGCAGCAGGAACTGAGTTCTTGAGTAGAAAACGATGAGTATTGTGTGAAAAGGGGAAGGAGAGGGAGTTTCTGCTCTGTGGCTTGTCCCATAGACGAACTTTGTTCCTTAGAGGTCACTGAACTTTGCTACCAAAGGAGAAGCTGTTTGCTGCTTCCTGACTGCGTCTGCAGCTGTTTTACAACTGCACCATGGAAATGTGTGTGCGCTGTCCCCAGCTGAACTGTCCTTTCAGAAGGGCTGTTTTTGTGGCCAGAGTTGATTTCTTCTGCTGCTACTTTTCCTGTTTGGCTGCAGCTATGAGTCACCTTGGCCAGGCATCTTCAGCTGCGTGTTGAACTTCCTTCTGTCAGTGAGTGAAGAGGGGAACGGCAGAGTTAGAAATGAGCTTTTCTTTGTTCTAAATCATGATCTGTTCAAAAATGGAGCCTGCTACTCCTGATTTGAGCCCCTCCTATTGGCTGTGTAAAAGCATCAGGGTAACCTCAGCGGTGACTGACATCAGACCACCATACTGTACTTAGGTGTCCCTCCCCTGCCTCAGTTGTTTCTGTCCTAACACTCACCCTCCAACCAAAGTAAATTGGAATTTCTACTAAAGTCTCCTTCCATGTCGAATATATTTTGTCCTCTGCACCATCCAAACTCATGGCCTTATGGGTAAATTCCTCCCTCCGTTTCCCCATGCATATTTCTCCAGCATCTGGGCCAGCTAGCTGTCCTGTGTGCTGCAGTCTGGATGTACAGCAGCTGTTCTCTGTCCTCTCTTCACTCCCTTCTCCCTTTCCTATTTCCATTGGCATCGGTGCTGTCAAAACTGATTCCCCACTCTGGCACTTCAAGTGCAGAAGGTGGGGCCCACAAGGATTCTAAAAATGAATACTGGCCACTCCAGGCTTGTATTAAACTCCCAATGTTACAGTTTCACTCTGACCTTGGATGGGTAGATGCTGCCACCACCCAAATGCAAAAAACCCCTTTGAACACGGGAAGGAGCACTTGGGAATTCCTTCCTGTGGGGTACCCTCAAGTCCTTTTACCCTCCCTCCAGGGAAGAGCTGAGAAAGAAAACAAAGGAAATCAGCCGTTGCCACAAGCTAATTTAACAACATGCACAAACCTCTTAGGACACCAAAAACCCAATCCTGTTCTTAACAAAGGTAAATTTTATTAAAACCAAAAAGAAAGAAAATACATCTGGGACTTAGGCTTTTTGCTAGATCTTAAAAAAAAAAACAGTTACAAAAATTAAGCATCAAGATAGCTCTCTTGAGGTTCAGCTTAAAGGTTACAAGCAAAACAAAAGCATCTGGGGTTAGCAAAGAGGAGTCCACAAGCCAATAAAAAATAAAAGAAATAACCCTAATCATATCTTCCTAGACATTCCCTAATTTATTTACATTTCTGGGGTTCAGTTTAGGTATGATCTGATGGTTTTTCATACCTGGCTTAAAGCTTCTCACAGCATAACTGCTCCTTGTTCCCCTCTTTCCTGGAGAACCACAACACACAGACAAAGGGAAGTTTTATTCCCCATTTTAAAAAGTTCTAGCCCTCCCATTGGCTCTTTTGGTTAGGTGCCCACTCCTTTCCTTCTACGTGTGGGCTTGTTAACCCTTTACAGGGTAAAGCAATTAGCTATAAAATTCCTCTTAGTAGCTGTTCTCTAACTGGCTGGCTGGGTGTCCATAAAAGAGAGTTAGCCCCCCCCCCTTATTCATCACAGCTGCCATATGAGAAAAGATTAATGAGACTGGGACTTTTCAGCATGGAAAAGAGATGGCTAAGGGGGGATATGATAGAGGTCCATAAAATCATGACTGGCGTGGAGAAAGTAAAGAAGGAAGTGTTATTTACTCCTTTTCATAACACAAGAACTAGGAGCCACCAAATGAAATTAACAGGCAGCAGGTTTAAAACAAATAAAAGGAAGTATTTCTTCACACAGTGCACAGTCAACCTGTGGAACTCCTTGCCAGAGGGGGAGAAGATGGTGGGAAATTCTGGAGGGGTAGGATGAAGTAGCTGCTATTCTGTATTCTCTGCTGCACTACTTACAATCCAGGTAGTAAGTCTCCATTTACAGAATTTGAATGCGTCAATGTCACTCACCAGTGGCTTATCATAGGTACAGGGTACAATTGCCATGCTAAGATAAAAAAAAAAGTTGTAATGAAGGGCTGTGAGCTTTATAGCCTGCAAAGTGCAATGGAAAATGAAGAAAGCAAAATTAATAGTGAAGGAGAAATTTTTGTTCTTTTTTTCCCAATGAAATAGGGCTGTTTTTTTCCTACTGACTGCATTTTTATTGCTATCATTCATCCTTTATATTCTAGTCATTCTTAGGGCATGTCTACACTACGAAATTAGGTCGAATTGATAGAAGCTGGTTTTATAGAAATCGTTTTTATACAGTCGTTTGTGTGTCCCCCCACATAAAATGCTATAAGTGCACTAAGTTGGCGGACTGCGTCCACAGTACCGAGGCTAGTGTCGACTTCCGGAGCGTTGCACTGTGGGTAGCTATCCCACAGTTCCCGCAGTCTCCGCTGCCCATTGGAATTCTGGGTTGAGATCCCAATGCCTGATGAGGCAAAAACAGTGTCGCGGGGGATTCTGGGTACATGTTGTCAGCTCCCCCCCCCCCGTGAGAGCAACGTCAGACAATCGTTTCGCGCCTTTTTTCCTGGGTTGCCTGTGCAGCCGACATACCACGGCAAGCATGGAGCCCGCTCTGCTCAGCTCAGCTCAGCTCACCATCACCATATGTCATCTGGTTGCCGGCAGACATGGTACTGCATTGCTACACAGCAGCAGCTAATTGCCTTTTGGCAGTAGATGGGGCAGTATGACTGGTAGCCGTCATTGGCGATCTGGGTGCTGGCAGACGTGGGGCTGCATTGCTACACAGCAGCAGCTCCTTGCCTTTTGGCAGTAGATGGTACAGTATGACTGGTATCCATCATCGTCGTACTCCTCAGTGAGTTTGGTCAGAGGCGCCTGGGCAGACATGTTTTGTTTCCTGGAGATTCAGTCCTGCCGGCAGTCCTATTGCACCATCTTGACGCTGATGGTTAGCAGTCGTAATGCACCATTTTCTGCCAAGCACCCAGAAGATGCCAATGGCTATCAGTCATGCTGCACCATCTGCTGCCAGCCTTAAGATGTAAAAGATAGATGGACCAGATTTGTTCTGTATTCATTTGCTTCCCCCTCCCTCCGTGAAATCAACAGCCTGCTAAACCCAGGGTTTTAAGTTCAATCTTTGGGGGGGCCATTCTGTGTGACAGTTGTTTGTGTTTCTCCCTGATGCACAGCCACCTTTTTTTATTTTAATTCCCTGTAAGCCATGTCATCACTCGCCCCTCCCTCCATCAGACAATAGTTTCGCGCCTTTTTTCAGCCCAGACACCATAGCACTGGGATCATGGAGCCCGCTCAGATCACCGCGGCAATTATGAGCACTATGAACCACGCGCATTGTCCTGGAGTATATGCAGAGCCAGAACATGCCAAAGCAAAAACAGGTGAGGAGGCAATTGCAGCGCGGTGACGAGAATGATGAAGAAATTGACATGGACATAGACCTCTCCCAAAGTACGGGTCCCAGCAATGTGCAAATCATGGTGTTACTGGGGCAGGTTCATGCCGTGGAACACCGATTCTGGGTCCAGGAAACAAGCACAGACTGGTGGGACCGCATCGTGTTGCAGGTGTGGGACAATTCCCAGTGGCTGTGAAACGTTCGCATGCGTAAGGGCACTTTCATGGAACTTTGTGACTTGCTTTCCCCTTCCCTGAAGCATCAGAATACCAGGATGAGAGCAGCCCTCACAGTTGAGAAGCAAGTGGTGATAGCCTTGTGGAAGCTTGCAACACCAGACAGCTACCGATCAGTCGGGAATCAATTTGGAGTGGGCAAATCTACTGTGGGGGCTGCTGTGATCCAAGTAGCCAACACAATCAAAGACCTGCTGATATCAAGGGTAGTGACTCTGGGAAACGTGCAGGTCATAGTGGATGGCTTTGCTGCAATGGGATTCCCTAACTGTGGTGGGGCAAAAGACGGAACCCATATCCCTATCTTGTCACCGGAGCACCAAGCCACCGAGTACATAAACCGAAAAGGGTACTTTTAAATGCTGCTGCAAGTCCTGGTGGATCAAAAGGGACGTTTCACTATCATCAACGTGGGATGGCCGGGAAAGGTACATGATGCTCGCATCTTCAGGAACTCTGGTCTGTTTCAAAAGCTGGAGGAACGGACTTTCTTCCCGGTCCAGAAAATAACCGTTGGAGATGTTGAAATGCCTATCGTTATCCTTGGGGACCCAGCCTACCCCTTAATGCCATGGCTCATGAAGCCGTACACAGGCAGCCTGGACAGTAGTCAGGACCTGTTCAACTATAGGCTGAGCAAGTGCAGAATGGTGGTAGAATGTGCATTTGGATGTTTAAAAGCGCGCTTGCGCAGTTTACTGACTCGGATAGACCTCAGCGAAACCAATATTCCAATTGTTATTGCTGCTTGCTGTGCGCTCCACAATATCTGTGAGAGTAAGGGGGAGATATTTATGGCGGGGTGGGAGGTTGAGATAAATCGCCTGGCCGCTGATTACATGCAGCCAGAGACCAGGGCGGTTAGAAGAGTACAGCAGAGTGCGGTGCGCATCAGAGAAGCTTTGAAAACCAGTATTGTGACTGGCCAGGCTACGGTGTGAAACTTGTTTGTTTCTCCTTGATGACCCCCCCTGCTCCCCCAGTTCACTCTACTTCCCTGTAAGCTAACCACCCTCCCCTCCCTCCTTTGAGCACCGCTTGCAGAGGCAATAAAGTCATTGTTACTTCACATTCATGCATTCTTTATTAATTCATCACACAACTAGGGGGATAACTGCCAAGGTAGCCCAGGAGGGGTGAGGGAGGAGGGAAGGAAAAGGACACACTGCAGTTTAAAACTTTAACTCTTATTGAAGGCCAGCCTTCTGATGCTTGGGCAATCATCTGGGGTAGAGTGGCTGGGTGGCCGGAGGCCCCCCCACCACATTCTTGGGCATCTGGGTGAAGAGGCTATGGAACTTGGGGAGGACAGCTGTTGGTTACACAGGGGCTGTAGCGGCAGTCTCTGCTCCTGCTGCCTTTCCTGCAGCTCAACCATATGCTGAAGCATATCAGTTTGATGCTCCAGCAGCCAGAGCATCGACTCTTGCCTTCTGTCAGCAAGCTGACGCCACCTATCCTCTTCAGCCCGCCACTTGCTCTCTTCAGCCCGTGATTCAGCCCGCCACCTCTCCTCTCGTTCATATTGTGCTTTTCTGCACTCTGACATTGACTGCCTCCATGCATTCTGCTGTGCTCTGTCAGCATGGGAGGACATCTGGAGCTCTGAGAACATATCATCCCGAGTCCGCCGTTTTCTCCTTCTAATCTTCACTAGCCTCTGCGAAGGAGAAACGTTTGCAGCTGGTGGAGGAGAAGGGAGAGGTGGTTAAAAAAGACACATTTTAGAGAACAATGGGTACACTCTTTCACGTTAAATTTTGCTGTTCACATTACACAGCACATGTGCTTTCGTTACAAGGTCGCATTTTTCCTCTTATATTGAGGGCCTGCCAGTTTGTTGTGAGAGATCACTCACGCAGTGCCAGGCAACAAAATTCAGCTTGCAGGCAGCCATGGTAAGCCATAGTCTTTTGGCTTTTTTAACCTTCATAACATGTGGGAATGGTTTCAAACAGCAGCGCCCTCATTTCCCATACCAATAACCCGTTGGGTTGGCTATTTAAAATGGGTTTGCAGTGTAAAAGGAGGGGCTGCGGTTTCCGGGTTAACATGCAGCACAAACCCAACTAACCTCCCTCCCCCCGCAACACCCAATTCTCTGGGATGATCACTTCACCCCTTCCCCCCACCGTGTGGCTAACAGTGGGGAATATTTCTGTTCAGCCGAGCAGGAACGGGCACCTTTGAATGTCCCCTTAATAAAATCACCCCATTTCAACCAGGTGACCGTGAATGATATCACCCTCCTGAGGATAACAAAGAGAGATAAGGAAAGGATGTTGTCTGCATGCCAGCAAACACCAGGACCATACGCTGCCATGCTTTGTTATGCATGATTCCAGACTACATGCTACTGGCCTGGCGTGGTAAAGCGTCCTACCATGGCGGACGGAATAAGGCAGCTCTCCCCAGAAACCTTTTGCAAAGGCTTTGGGAGTACATGAAGGAGAGCTTTCTGGAGATGTCCCTGGAGGATTTCCGCTCCATCCCCATACACGTTAACAGACTTTTCCAGTACCTGTACTGACAGCGATTGCCAGGGCAAATTAATCAATAATCATTAAACCAGCTTGCTTTTAAATCATGTGTAATATTTACAAAGGTACACTCACCAGAGGTCCCTTGTGCACCTTCAGGGTCTGGGAGCACGCCTTGGGTGAGTTCGGGGGTTACTGGTTCCAGGTCCAGATTGACAAACATATCCTGGCTGTTGGGGAAACCGGT